CTTTTTCAGACTAGCTATGGCTTGTTTAGTTGCAAATTTCCTCTCGTACTTTATTCAGCAGTAGTACAGGCTCAACTACAACTAGTTAAGAGCCAGTTCTAAAAAAAAATAATAATTTTAATAAAACAGAAAGATTTGTTTTATTGGAAATGTGTCTTTGGTCACATCCAAGCTGTTACTGTGAAAGCAGGGAAATTAATTTTGCTGTAGCACTGGGGAAGGAACAAAAGTAACATAATCCCTGTAGATAGTGAGTGATGTGCGAATATGTCACGGATGTTTAGTTAGTAGAACAAAACCAACCTGCAGGCACCAGTCTCCTGCAGGACTCGAGGCAGAAATAACCAGGTGAAATTTAATGGGCTGCAATATTTGCCCTAGAACATGGAATGGCTTTATGTTATAAAAGGCTACAAATCTCTGAAAAGTGACCTCATGTCTTTTGATTGTACTCTTCCGCCCCATCCTTCAGCCTTGATCTGTTTTATCTTCATAACACTTTTTCCCAAATCCTGAGCTACAAGTCTTCATTTGCAGACATTCATCTCCCCTGGGTTTATATACATAGTGCTGTGGACAATTTTTTTCCTAGAAAACGTGGGAGTCTGAGGCAAGTAGGCAAACTGGATAATTCAAGGTTAATGACTAATCCAGACCATAGAAAGATCAAGTGATGAACTGAATCTCCAAAAGACATTTCAAGTTTGCTCCAGGGGCCTGCCAGATGAGTGTTGCCAAAGCGGATTAGAAGAACTCCCAGTTCCTCAGCAGAGATACTGAGAGGTCAGAGGTTGACGAAGACTCAGAAGACAAAGATTTAAAACAGCCCTATCAGATTGCATGTCCTGCCCATCCCAGCTTTTTGAGGCAATAGAAAAACACACACTTCTGGGCATTTTTTAGCTGGGAAGACAGCCATTGACTGGCTTAAACCATCTGTGCTTAAAAGCTCATCACTTTCTTCCTAAATCTAACCACCAACAGGGATCATCTAGCTCTTGTATCTTCTATCGAGGTAAGATTACAAGAAAGAATACCATGGATAAAACCATCTCTGGTCATGAGAAAGATAAGTGTGTTTGTCACATAAATCAGTGCTTGTTGGAAAAATGAGAAGCTCTCCAGGGACTCCAGCTAGAGCACTCACATGGTCCAACAGAAGATAGGTTATAACCTGGGAGGGAAAGACCAAACTGAAGAGAATTGTGGTGTCAAGCGATCCCTCAGATCAGTTTACAGGCTTAAAACATAACTGGAAGCCAAATGCTCTATATGATATACACAGGGCTTAGTGTACAACAGGTAATTGGCTTAGTTAATAGTACAGAGCTAGCTTGGTGTTTTGAGTTAGAACACTGGGCTTGTTTTTTACATTGTCATAAGAAAAATACTTACAGTTTCAGAAAAAAAAAGAAAATTAAGTCTTATTCTTAAACACATCAGGGTGTGTTCAAAAGTTGTAATAACAGGGTAGAGAGGAAAATCTGTCTGTAGTGTAATATAATAGTAACCATAATGTGATACTATTTTTACATCACATTTTTCTTCCCTGTGTGCATATTACTTGCAGATAGTAATTATGCTAATACCTTGCTGCACATTCCTTTACCAAATAGGAAACTGGCAGGAATTTTCATATTTAATCACTTTATCCATAAATCCCTTGTCTTTCCACTTTGGTTGTGAATGATGTTGTTGAAATATAGTTGCAGTGATTCTGTCTCTTACAGGCACTCACATCATATTTTCAGCTGCCTGTGAAAGGGGTTCGGGAGAACTGTCAGGGAAGATCAGTGCTACACATAGGACTCACATTTACTTGTTTGCCAGATAATTTTTTACAAGCCATTGAACCAAGCAGAGATTTCAGTGAAAGGATGAAATTTTGTGGTCAAAGTCATCATCCCCTTGATGCCTTTGAAAATTACCTACTTTACTGATGTTATTATTTTTCAGACATTTAATCTGTCACTTGTCTTTTGGATATGAAACTAAAGCCACCGCTTTAAAATAGCTTTTAATTTCTAAGTATTTTGATTCCATGTTGGCAGCAGTTGTTGCAGGTAGGATGGATTAGGCTGTGAGGTTTCAGAGATCTCTTACAGTGTAGCCCCACCTCACTTGTAACCATCAGGCACGGATCTAGGATGGATGTAGTGGATCGGTGGCTGAAACTGGCCATACAGATGCCACACTGACAAAAAAGCTGGAGATTGCATTTTCACCACAGGTGCAGCTTTGTATTGATTCCCTGGGTGTTGGCTCATACCCTGTGCAATAATTCTTTTCATGATGATTGTAATACTTGTTTTTTCTGAACCAGTTTTCCAGTTACGCTCTGTTGTATCTGTGCTAGAGTGGCACTAAGTAGAGACCACTGAACAAGGTAGAAATGAGGTGATTATTCCCCTCCACAAGAGCATAACAAAAAACAAACAAACAAACAAGACATTTTCCTTCCTGAAAGGAAAGTCATAACCTTACTTCTTAAAGCATCTTGGAAATAGTTGGCATGCTGCATGCTGCCCATCCTAAATGCAAGCTCACAGCCAGCCTCTGCCAAGAATGTATTTTTATCTTTCTCCTTTGCTTTCAGTCCCTTTCCCTTTTTCTTTTGCCAGTAGCTGTAGATCACAGTGAGAGTACAGTGCTGAAGTGGATATTAGTTCAGTGGAGCCTGTACAGAAACCATTCCTGGCCCTGTGACTCACATTCAGCTCGTAAACTGAAGTCACTCTTTCCCCCTCCATGCCGTTGTTGAGCAGTTCCTTCACCCAGATAGATAGCTGCCTCCACACTTGCTCTGATAGAGCAGAGCCCAGCTGATATCAAGGGAGCCTGGCTATTAATTCATCAACACTAATTTCTGCACTTCAAGGCTATTTTTGTCAGTCCTTCAGTCCCAGTATTTGATTACCCAGCTGGCATTTTCCCATTCCATAAGCAAAATACCAAGTACTCAGGCTCAGAGATGCACCAAAACTACTGTCTAGAGAAACACGTTTGGTGTCTTGCCAGCTGATTTAGCCAACGGAAACTCACAGATGTGTCAACTGCTTTAATGCACAGAAACACTTGAGCAGGGCCCTGTTCCACAAAAGACAGGTGGCCAGCGAGCCCGATCTTGTCCTGCCCAAACCAAATGGCTTCTGCCTTCACTGTCAATGCAGTCATCAGTGCTGTCACACCAGGTCATCAGTCATAGCATATGGCAAATGAATTAATGACACTTACACCCAGTGAAGATGTTTCTACAAATTGTGCTGAGTTGATTTTTCCCCGTTCAGGAATGGGGAGATGGGAAACAGTTGTTTGATTTGTTTAGAAGAAGTTATGCAACAACTTCAAAATAAATCATGGTTAATAAATTGCCATGTATGGTGCTTTACGTAGACTATTGGAGTCTTCATCAAAATGAAATAGTATTTCTGAGCAGACTTTTGATTTTGGGAAATCTTATTGGAGCCACTTATCATAACAAACAACCCAGGATTGAGTAACAAGTCAAAGATTCATGGTATAAGGATACTAATCTAGATGACAGTCCTAAATAACAGGCTAGAAGGTCAATTACCTGGTGAGAAAGGCATGATAGCCTTCCGGTGCACAGCACCTAG